TATATTAACTTGATTTCTTGAAATGCATGTAAAATTCATAGAAGCCAGTCAACATGAATTCTTAATTAGTGCTGAGGACTATGTGCTGTAAGTTTGCATGTGTGTGTCAGATTCTAGATGACGGTCCTCCTTCGAAGCCGTACCAGTGGCAGAACCGCAGTGTGACTGAATGGACATGTCAACAGGTGTCATGCTGGCTCATGGGTCTGAACCTGGAACAGTATGTCTCTCTTTTTACTGCCAAGAATGTGGATGGAGAGCAGCTACTCAAGCTGGACAGCACAGCACTCAAGGTGAGGAACAGATTTGTTGGGATAATTTAGTCTGTCTATTTTTTCTATTGTGTACGGTGAAAACCAAGCAAATGACGGATATAAGATGGCAAAAATATACATTTTCAATGATCAACAGATGACTTTAACATCATTAACTTCATTTTTGCACATTTAGAGTCATACGTTATTTGAATATTATACTAATAAATTAGATAATTTAATGCATTATTTAAGTCTTTACTTATTTAATATACCATGTACACAAGATTAAAAATCTGTATTTATGTTTTAAATATTTACATTTACAACAAAAAAGTTTTGATTAACTTTAATACATTTATTTGTTTGATTTATTTTTATTGATTTATTTTTTTTCAATAACGAAGTCCATTTTATACAAGAAAATTAAATCTTTTTTTAAACATTAAATGTTTGTAATAGATGGTTAGGTGTTTTTTTATCCATCAAAATAACTGCTTCCCCTGCCATATGCTAAAATTGCTAGAATAATTCATGTCCCATCTGCTTTCCCTGCAACGAGAAAGTTGTCTTTAGAGATTAGCATAGTTTCGTAGGACCCATCTGAACGTCCTGTAAGTGTGTCCGTGTATGTTTTTGGCAGGCTCTGGGTGTAGAGTCCTCTCAGGATCGGGCTCTGATTAAGAAAAAGCTGAAGGATCTGAAGGTGTTGATGGAAAAAGCTCAAAGACACCGAGAGAAAATGGAGAAGCAGCGCAAGAAGGAACTGGAGCATGTTCAGAAACAGGTCCGGAAAAATAGCAACTCCTCCGGACCAGAAGAGGGCGCTACTGAATGACACTACTCACCTCACCACTATCTCACAATTATAAGTACAGATGAGTTCAGCATTTCACGGGACTGAAAGTTCATTGCAAAAGGGGCTTATTGCTATTGAGCTGCCATTGGATGAATTGAACCCAAAATTTCCAAATATGGATTTTGTTATTTTTACTGAACAATATTCAGGTTTTTTTTGCTCGTTTTAGCAGAATGATCACTGCTTTTTTGGTTTCCTGTGTTTTATGTCTGATTAATATCTATTTATTTGCATATGGAGAATATGTATATATTGAACCAGAGCATATCAGCTCATAACTCATCCATGACAGTTAAAAACTGTGCATTACAAGCACCTTTAGACGTTGAGACATTGTACATATGCAGAAAGCATATATATAAATATGTCTAACGTGCCATAGTTTGTTCAAGGAACGTGGAAAGTTTTTAATACGACGGCTTTGACAAAGCACAGGTCAGAGAGATGGACAGTGTTGCTTTCGAGTGTCTCTTCACCTCAAAGAGTTTGAGCGCTGCTCACAAGAACCACTACAGTCTGATTCACTGGCAAACACAAACCTTACTGTGAGAAGAAAGCCATTCTGGGTAATGAGATATCACGGACCCTCATTGTGGATATTTCACTGTATACTTTGAACCTCCTGTTTGGATCTCCTTCATCAACCTGCCAGTATTCAAGATGATTACAACTGATGTGTATGTTCTTCTCCGAGCTTGAATCCTCCTAATGATCTTTGGAAGAAAAATGGTAGCAATGGGATACTAAACTATTTCAGGAGTCTGCCATTTTAAACTCTTCTACAAAGATGCAAGACTTGTACTCTAAAAGAAAAAAAGCAAGAAAAAAAGACCCACTGATGCTTCTATTTCACAGATACCCGCTTCTAGCCCTCTCCATCGCCCTGAGCTAGATTCTCAGTTAGACCCAAGTGCTGCCTTTTGAAGTGCTGTTTAGATTTTTATTTTATTTTTACGGTTTGAGGTTACAGTCTGGATCACACCGATTGTGTGAATGCACCTCTGTTTTACCGGCATCCAAATGTTGTAGAGCAGATGACAAATGTGCACTTAAAACGGACCTATCTATGTACAGTACACTACCAGTCAAAAGTTTGGGGTCAGTAGGATTTTTGAAAGAAATTAATGCGTTTATTCAGCAAGGATGCATTAAATTGATCAATAGAAATAGGATTTCTATTTCAAATACATGCTGTTCTTTGGAACTGTCTATTCATCAAAGAGCTCAAAATGTAAAACATTTTCCAGAAAAACACAACTGCACAACTGTTTTCAATATTTATCATATGAATTGTTTCTTGAGCAGCAAATCAGCATATTAGAATGATTTCTGAAGGATCATGTGACACAGAAGACGGGAGTAATGGCTGCTGAAAATTCAGCGTCGCCGTCACATGAATAAATTATATTATATTAAAATAGAAAATAGTTATTTTAAATTGTAATAATATTTAACACAAATATTGTTTTTTACTCAATTTTTAGTCAAATAAATGCAGCCTTGGTGAACATAAGAGACTTCTTTAAAAAAAAAAAAAAAAAGTTTTACTGACCCCAAACTTTTAAACAGTAGTGTGTGTTATTTTATCAGGCTAGATTTTATTCAGTTTGATCCCAGTGTTGTTGTTTTATTTTAATTTTTTTCAGTTATTTGTCAGATTCACAAAGAGAGCACCATAACATAGTCTTTTGTAATGTAATTTATTGCATAGAGTAATCAGTATCGCCAATTTATCAGTTTATCCTGGGTTGTATTTTTAAATTTATGCAACACATTTCCCATATGTATCAATTGTAAATATACAAAACACAGTAGCCTACAGACATTGTTTTGCATTTCAGAATCCACTTTGATGAGTCATATTAACCCTGTTTAACCCACATTCTATTCACTGCCCAATTTTATCAGACCGTATCATATTTTTCTCAATTCTGCATTATTGTAAACATGCTGTTTTCTCATACATGATGATACATATCGTTCATGTTTACATTTGAATTACTGATTATTTCCATAGCAACACGAAGGCAGCTTCAGTGGTACTTGGGCACTGTACAGAGGGCATTAGGCAGTGCCTCATAACCCTGTGAATTTATTACAAGCACTCAAATGTGACTCCATTTAAGATTATATTATTGCTAATTACTGAATTATTTATCTCTAATAATTTTAAGCCTGTCATAGCCTATTTATTGTTTTCCCAATCAAAGAAATGTTTGTAAATCAGTTCACATTATTTATGAAGCAAAAAAAAAGTACTACCAAAAACCTTAACTGTAATCAAAAAGTGGAGAATTAGGAGATTGTATGTTTGTTCATTAACTCACCGTGCTAACCGTGCTCTTGTGAACCTATCTTTATTATTGTAATTGCAAAAAGACGCTTGTCTTAACATTATGAAAACATTTCTAGCCCTCTGCTATGAATCACTTGAAAAAATATCCTGCTGTAGATCCAAATCTAACCTGCCTACCCATTTATGATATACTGACTTTTGTATGTCAAAGTTAAGCAATAGCTTTTAATCCCGGCGTTTTTTATCGATTCCATGAGGAGACCGAAGACCGGGTCTGTCTGTTTGAATGTGTCTGCGTGCAGGGATAATCACGTACGGATCTGAGGACAGAAATGTGCTTCTCTTTCATGGGTTATTTGTTGTTTTCACTGTAAGGCAGAGTCAGTCAGGGTATATAGAGGAACTGCACGCAACGCCTGAGAAAAGAGCATTAACCTGTGTATTTTTGTTCATCATACCCGCCCGCATGAGGGACCTCAATGTGCCATACCCATTCTTTCCAAAACTACTAAATTCTGTCCTTTATTTTTGTTCATGAAAAATTAAAAGCCTTGTGAAAGTTTGTCATGTTGGACTGTAAATACACTTCAAATGACATATTTGGTCAGAGAAATACAATGAAAGATCATTCCAAACCTGTCTCGAGTTGTTCATGTGCAAGCAGTTTGTGGATTCAAATGTGGAGGTTTTAAACATTTCAGACTTTTTTACGTTTTGCAATTTGTTGCGGAAAAGTAAAAAAAGAACAAAATACAAAAACTTGCAGAGAAGACTGTACAAATTCGTCAAAACGTAAAACTTAATTGCCATGAAGTGTGTTGAACATGTTTAATTAGTCAAAAATATTGCGAATTAGGCCTAAATTGTTTGAAATAACTATTTCTAAGTTCAGATTTTACTTGTGATGCCCCATTATCTCCACTGCATTTTCTTCCAGTTTGCATTTGCAAGTATTCTTATTACACAATCCTGAAGAAATCCTTCTTGTTTTGATTTATGATTTGAGAATCCTTCAATGTTATGATTTATTACTTACAAACTTTTTTTGTTAGCACATCTGAAAATGGTTGTGCCACTTAATGACCTGAATGTTTTATTTCAGCTTTATTGGTGTGTTCATTTTGAAAAATGCAACTTTGTGGCTTTATTTCACCTGTTTGTAATGCAATGTCTTGTTATCCGTCACATTCTTTTACGAGATAGCCTCCAAAAAGGAGGTGCACTTTTGCACCGTTTGCCATTGGTAATGGGTTCGCCCAAAATACTATAAGATATAATATGGCGTCTTTAGACTAAATCTTTATCATATTTCTTAAATGCAGTCGATATTTTATTGTGGTAATAAAAGTATTTTGGCGGATACTGTAATAACTATTGTAGCCCAATTTTTTGTGAACTTTTAACGCTTGTTTGGTCCAGAGTAGGCTATGCTTTGACCTCTTCCCCTCACAGTCTATTAATAGTCAGACTGATGTGACGGACTCGACACCGACTGTGTTTCACGCACGCTCCTGACCACTGGAATTCATAAAGCTTTCTGGAATTACCTAAACATACCGAAATAGTGTTTCTTGCGGATTAATCGTGAGATATGAGCAAGCCTCGAGCAGTTCTCGGTTTAGCGGAGGAAGATAACCGGACTTTGTCGCGGCGCGAAGCTGATAACCTTCTAAAGGCACGCTTTCTAGAAGCGCTCACGCGTAACGATGCAGTTGAGGTTGCAAAAATCCTTCGCACCACCAGCATTGACATAGACACTGTGTTAGACGTGGAGGACCGCGATATGATCCTTTCTTCTTATAAGCAAGGTAATTCATGTTGACACAACAGTCGCTCTTTTACCAGAGAAATCATGGTACTGACTGTATGACTGCAGTTAGTAATCCAGCCACACGGTGGAGCTAGACTGCCAATAACAGATTAAACGTCTATGAATTTTAATCACTTTGAAGAACGCACAGTAAGGGCACTTGGCATCAGCAGTGTGATATACACTATAATTTCCGATTTAACTATTTGTTCAGTTGCATAACTATACAAGTGATTTTTATGATTTCAAGTGAGACTTTTCGTGCTGTGAATTAATTTGTCACTCGACCCCTGAAATAAAAATTCAGGAGTTTTGTGGCTTTTAGGCCATGTATGGCTCATCCTGTACTACACAGAATTTGGTCTAATCAGATGCTCTATAGAATGAGAATGTCCTGCCCCCAATACCACCAGCAACCAATTAGCAAGCTGCTTTTTTAAGTATATTAACTGCTCCAAATTTCCTACTTTAATAAGAAATATGTTAACATATGAAAACAACATTTATCAACTGAGATAGGTGCTTAAAAAAAGCTAAACGGAGAAATTGTAAAATAGATGGGCAGCAGTCATGTTATTTTAGTGTTATTTATATATACTATTGTAGTTGTATTGTAGACTACTATATATTTACAGTGTATTAACATTATCAATTAGCTTTTATATATATTTTTTATATTTTAATATTAATATTTTAGTTGATGTTTTAGTACTTTTATGTGATTTTGACTTTTATTATTATTTTTTATATATATATTTCTGTGTAACTTTAATTTTATTTCCGTTTTACTTATAATTGTAGTTCTTCAGCTTACTTATTTCAGTTAGTTTCCAAGGCAACATTTCTAAATTTCTTTTATCTTCTTATGTTTTTCATCTAATATTGATATTTTGTATTTCAGCTTTATTTCAAAAAATATTTTTTTAAAGTTTTAGTTAACAACAACACTACGACCAGTTACACCTTAAAAATAAACAAATATATATATATTTATATTTATTATTAATTTTTTTTTCCCACCAGGTTACTGGCTACCAAGTTATAAGTTGGAGACATCCTGGGCGATGGGTCTTCACGTGTGTATGATGTACAACGCATTGGAGAGTGCCATAGTCCTTCTGCAGAATGGGGCAGCGGTCAACAGGAAACCTAATGGGAAAACCCCTCTACATGTGGCCTGTACAGTGTCTAATGCTGACTGTGTGGGACTTCTGCTGGAATGGGGCGCACGGATCAACAGTATGTCCCTGAGTGGGCATACTCCTTTACACTACTGCATTTCACCAGAGTCTTTGGACTGTGCCAAACATCTTATTCTCAAAGGTCTGTAGATTTAAATCTAAAATCTTCTTAGTTGACCTAAAAAATACATTTCTGTCAACATTTACTCACCCTCATGTCATTCCTTTCTTTCTTCTGTGGAATACAAACAACAATTGTAACTGTAACTGTATTTGTCCATATAGTGGAAGTCAATGGGGTCCAAAACAACACTGAACTTTTACTGGACAAAAAACACAAAAGACTTCTAATCTTCTAATCTTACTGCAGGAGCAAATATCAACACGCCCAGTGAGGAGAACCAGGACACCCCTCTGCACACTGCGGCCCGCTATGGTATCCCAGAGCTGGTGGCTTACTACATTGCCCATGGAGCTGATATCAATGCAATCAATGGCTACACGGAGACGCCTCTGATCACTGCTGCATTCTGGGCCATGGACATTCGCGAGCGGACCTACAGCTCAAACCACCATCTTGTCTGCAGAATCCTGTTGGACCACAATGCTAGCTTAAATTTATATGAGGAAGACAAGAAGACGGCACTGCACAAAGCTTGCTGGAACTGTGACCATGTGCTTATCCAGATGTTACTGGAGGCCGGTGCCAAGACTAATGCTATGGATATCAATGGATGCGCAGCGATACAGTATCTGCTGAAGGTGACGCAGATCAGGCCGTGGGCCATTCCTGAACGCTGCTATCAGCTGCTTCTGAACTACGGAGCAGCACGAGTGTATCCACCACAGTTTCACAAGGTACGACACTCACCCACCCAAACGGCTTTATTATTCCATATAGTATATTTGAAGAGTGAAGATGTCAGTGGAAATTTTATAGTCAACTAGATGGTGTTTGCACTTAAGATGAATCTTAAAATATGAATGTTGTTCTTTTTGGTTGTCTTTCTATTAAGTAGGTGTTGCAGGCGTGTCATGAATACCCCAGGGCAGTGGAGGTTATGGTCAATTCTTATGAACATATCAAGTACACTAAAAAATGGAGGGCTGCTATTCCTGAAGCTGTATATGAGGTCAGAAACAAACTTTTTTTATACACTGCAAATAATAAACAAAATGAGCAAATATAATGCAATAACACAAAACACGTAAAACACATTTAAAAAAAAAACTTTTAAATTTAGTAGGGTCTATGCTTAAAATAAGTGCAAAAATAAGGAAATTTTTTTTTTAGGTTTATCTTGCTTTAAAAATGTTTGGAAATGTTTCTTGAGCACCAAATCAGCATATTAGAATGATTTCTGAAGGATCATATGACATTGAAGACATGGAAGCTCAGCTTTGTCATCACAGGAATACATTACATTTTAAAATAAAATACAAAACCTTTATTTTAATTTGTAATAATATTTTCTGTACTTCTGGTAAAATAAATGCACCTTTAGTGAGCAAAAGAGAAAAAACCATTAAAAGAAAAAAAAAAAACAGCCCCAAAAATTTTGAAGAAAATGCAAATAAGCAAGTAAAGAAATAAATAAATAAAAATTACATTTTATTTAATGTTATTAAAGGGGTCATATGATGCTATTTTAAAGATCATTATTTGGTGTATTTGGTGTAACAGAATATGTTGACATGCTTTAATGTTCAAAAAACACATTATTTTTCAAATACTGTACATTATTGTAGGTCC